GGGTCGAGGAACGGTGAGACGCTAGGGTACTCGGTCACTGCGACTGCGGGCACTGTTCAGATGGATGGATGAGCTGTCATGTTATTAGGTTCGGACCGTCAAAGTGTGTCATACCTGATGACTTCTCGGCGCTGGCGCGTCTGCGTCGCCTGCGGGAAAGACAGTAATAGGCGAGGATGCCGCCTCCGACTATGAGACAGAACACAGAGATCCCGACCGCGATCCCTGCACTGGCACCCTTGGACAGGTCGCTGCTACTGTGGTGCGAGGGGTCACCTGATGGGGATCCTGTTGGTGGTATGTAAGTCGTGAAGCCGTTGCTGCTCGGGTCCGCGATGAGATGGCTTGCGCCGGGGGTTGTCGCACCTTGCGCGCTGGAGGAAGACGCCGACGCTAAAGAGCTCGGTACAAAGGGAGCGTGAGGCGCAGACAACCCATTGGGCCCTGGGCTGGAGGCAACAGGGGATATCGTCTCCGTAGTCGTCAGGATGGACGTGGCTTGGGAGGGCTGCGCAATGATCGATGATGGTGGCTGTACGACGGTTTCCGACGTCACAACGTCGTCCTGCAGCCCCATGAGGAAGAAATCGAGCAGCAAGGAGTCGCCATAGTTGGTGATGACGAGCGTGTGTGTCCCGGCTGTGAGGATCGAAGAGTTGAAGAATTGAGCCTTGTGCTTCGGCGAACCGACGACGCTCGCCTCGAAGTATGTGGTAGTGAGTCCACCGTCAACCGCGTAGGTGGACTTCTCCGTGCCGGATGGCGAGCGTGCGCCATATACGCTGATCCATGTGCCTGAGCAAAAGTGAGTATGGGTTTAACAGCGAGAGCAGGGGCATTCGCGGACCTGTGAACGTGAAATTGGCTATGTCGCCGACCACGGTAGTCTCGGACACGGTGTTTGCATAGTTTCCCGGGCTGGGACTTTGGCGGGTCCAGCTACCTGTGTACACAATGCTCGGGTCGGTGTCGTCGAGGAGGGCTACGTTGGCTCCCCTGAACAATGTAATAGGCATCTAGGTGGATTCGGGCGAGACAAGAGGGAGCAACCGAGGAAATTGTACGCAAGTAGGACGATCGAAAGCGGCGTGAAGAAACAAGCGGGTAAGCAGGGTAGCGGGGACGCCAACTGCGCCTCGCAAACCCCATGGTCGCACTAGATTCCAAGCATAGGTCCAACAAGAGAAGCTATGAGCCCGCCTTCCGCATCTCGTGATTCAAGCTATGAGACGACGTACTGTCAGAATATATCATCTTCCATCTGCTGGAAGTATGACAGCTAACCTTGCATAGGTGCTCGAAAATCGATTGCACGGCATAGGCTGGCGGGTGGACTTTGACAGCGTGGCAGCCCTGGATGTCGCCGTGAGAGATGCGGCCCAAACATATAGGACGGGAAGTCTGCTGCGATCTCGAGATATTCCCGGAGGCATAGGCATGGTGATGGCAGGAGCAAGAGCGGCTTCAGGACCGCGACCGGGCCCGAGTAACAGGAGACGTACCTTACAGCCACATTGATGATGTTCATCAAACACTTCAACGAGTAACAGTCCGGATGTTGACTGAGACTTAGATGCCGGCTCGGCATACTTACCTGCTGCTTACCTCAGCTGCAGAGTTCTAATGCAAGCTTATCCTTAGACTTCTGTGCCAGGCGGGACGCGCCTCGCGCGCATGAGTCAGACCCTCATGTAGACGAGTTTTTGACGACGAGGCTCTGGAGAAGTACGTCCTTTTGAGTTCCCTTGGCACATCCTTCCGCATGGTATTGCGTCCACGTTGCTGACCGCCGGGCCCGCCGTTGCATTGCCAGCACAAGAAGTCGATGTCCCTCCGGCTTCAACATGAGCCTCAAAAGCTTCGCTTCCTATGAACAAGTCGACTCTCACAGCAGCCTCAGGCACCCGAGCATCCAGGTCTTCGCCCGGTTGAACGTGCTCTCGCGCTCCTCCCGACTCAACAAGAGCCTCAAACACCGGTGTTGGACAGCATTCGGCAGATCAAGCTCATGTCAAGTCTAATTGTAGTGCATACGGTCGGATGTCACCGAACCTCCATGATCGGGATATGTCCAACTGAAGGGTGGCTGAGCTCCTGTTCTAGGCTCAGACGTGACCGCCACTGAGGAGTTAGCGTACCGCGCGAATTTAGTGCACGGAGCCGCTACTGATTGTTATGGCGTCTTAGACTCTTGTATCATCTTCCCGGAGGCGCACGGTGAAGGTATATAAGTAAGGCCAATGGTCGAAGGCCTCCTCAGACCTTCGTGCAACTCCAAAGCGTGCCAGCAACATGGCCGCCAGGCTCGTCCAATTCCTCAATCTCGTTCTCCTCGTGGTTTCCGTGTTCGGTGCTGCGACGCACGCCAACTCTAACGCGACGGTCACCTTGGACAATGCCACCGTCATCGGCCAGCCGAACGGAACCGTCGTCAAGTACCTTGGCTTACCGTTCGCACAACCTCCGTATGTCCGCTCCCTCTTATGCCACGCGTTCTCTTCGTGCTGAGTGTCTTTCGTACTAGGGTCGGCGACCTCCGCTTCCGCCTACCTAAAGCCGTATCGCCGTTCAATGGGACCATAAACGCCACCGCCTTTGGAAATCAGTGCATCCAGCAGACCTTCGAGCCTCTAGCGCTCCCGGACGACCTGCCACCTCCTGCTCGAGACTACATGTCGCTCGCAGGGTTTCTCGCTCTCCCGGATGTCCCTGTGAGCGAGGACTGTGAGTCATTACCTGAAGTCCTAGGACGGGATACTGATGTTAAGATTCTCAAGGCCTGAACTTGAACGTAATTGTACCAGCGGATACCGATCCCCAGTCCAAGCTACCTGTCGCCGTGGTACGTACCCCCGTCGGTGCGAACAATTGAGACTTACATATGATGCTGTCTTTAGTGGATATTTGGAGGTGGGGCCAACCGATCCCTCACAAAGCCGTACGCGTTACTGACTGAATGTTCTCAGGCGGCTTCCAGATAGGCTCCAACGCAGTGTAGGTTACCACCCTCAAGCGAGCTTGGACATATTCTGACGGTATGTGCAGTGAACCCGGCGAGCTAATTGTGGCGAGGTCGGTAGAAATAGGCCACCCTATGATCTATGTCGCAGTCAACTACAGGTAGGCTATCCCTCTCCATGCGGAGCTTCCAGGACACTGATGTAATCTTCCTCACAGGTTGAGCGGTGAGCGGATCAAGTTGTGGCTAGTCCGCAGGCATAGCGGTGCTAAGATTTGGCACAGCCTTTGGGTTCCTTGGTGGAAAAGAGGTGAAAGATGCCGGTGTCGCGAACATCGCCCTCCATGACCGTGCGTTTCTGGCTGCTTTCCGCCTCCAACCTGATACAATGTCTGAGGGCTACCTTCTTCAGAACGAGAGGCACTCCGCTGGATCCAGAGGTACATCTCCGCATTCGGCGGAGACCCGGAGAAGGTCATGCTGTAAGTTGCCTTGCCCCGTCACTCTCTCACCGCACACCATCTTCTCACGAATGACGTCGCCTGCAGCTGGGGCGAGAGCGCAGGCTCCGTGGCTGTCGCACTGCAGATGCAAGCAAATGGCGGCAACACCGAAGGTTTCTTCCGCGCCGCGTTCATGGAGTCTGGCGCTCTGCTCCCGACGGGCACTGTCGACAACCCGTACGTCCAGGCCAACTACGACCAGATCGTGGCAGACACAGGGTGCTCGAATGCGACCGATACACTTGCGTGCTTGCGCACCATTCCCGCGGACGCTCTGAAGGCGGCTATGGATCAGACGCCGTCGTTCGTCGGCTTTCGGGTGAGCTGGACTTACTCACCTATTTCATGACATGCGAATGTTGAGGATCCGACGTGGATGATATAGCAACTCAACACACCGTACTTCCCCCGGGCCGACGGATCGTTCATTCGAGAGGCTCCCCAGCAAGAGCTGTTGAAGGGTCGGGTAGCACGCATCCCAATCGTCGCCGGCATGTCTTCTTATGCTGGCCTGTCGAGTCGATCTTCACTCACTAGTTGGACAGGCAACGACTTCGACGAAGGCACCGTCTTCTCGTTCGGCACTCTGAACCTGACGTGAGTATATTGGGCCACCGCAGCTTCCACCGAGATGCTGACACTGTCGCACATTCACCAGCACCGATGAGGAGTTCTTGGACTACATCCACTCAAACTACTACGTGAACACCTCTCGCGCAGCCGTGGCCAAGATCCTAGATCTCTACCCCTCCGACCCCGCCGCGGGCTCCCCATACAACACCGGGGACAACTTCACGTACACGCCCCAGTACAAGCGCATGTCGGCGTTCCAGGGCGACTTCATCGAGCACGCGCCCCGGCGGCTGTTCGTCCAGCACCTCGCGCAAAAGCAGCCGGTGTATACCTATTGTACGTCCCTCATCTTCTCACATCGTATACACGGCGTAGCTGACCCGGAGACCATTCGAAGTGAGCAACTCACAACACATAGATGGTATTGGAGCTGTATGTCTCTGCCATCCTCTCACAATTCTCGACTGTCTCAGCTAACGCGACGTGTCAGCCGCATGGCTCCGAGCTCCTCGACATATTCGGAGGCGGGCCGTTGGGCGACTACCTCATCCGCTTCGCTGCGACGCTCAACCCGAACGGTGACGGCGCCGTCTCGTGGCCGCAGTATACCAACTTGACGCCTTTCACGCTCACGTTCAACGATGCGGAGCCTGCTTTCAACCTCACGCGCGACGACTATCGAGCAGAGCAGATCGAGTATCTAGTGAGGCTTAGCCTTGCCGACCCAATCTAGGAGAGGAGACCGTCCGGTGATGAAACATGTATTGTCTTGGACGTGTTGCTTCGGTGGCCCGTCACTGTTGCCCGATATGAGCATTGCTATTCAACGAGCACATTTGACTGTCACACCATGGACCACTCTTCGAATTTCCACTCCGTTCAATTGTTGGGATTGTTACATACTATTAGAGATCTCATCGTCCGTCTTGCGTCCGTCCGCACAAAAAGACAGTCTAAAATTCAAATGATGAGAGTGGGATTCGAACCCACGCCCTTTCGGACCAGATAAGACGAGATATGAAGCCTTAGTCTGGCGCCTTAGACCGCTCGGCCATCTCACCATGTACACTACTTAGACTGAAGTTATATATGAAACGCCCTTTTCATAGGAGGTGTGTAAGTTGGTGCAAGTGTCTAAACCACAACATCGGCCTTCTCTTCTGCCTTCTCCGACTCTCTGACCGCCCATGTCTCGTCCATGTCTGTTCTCATAGGTATCTCTCGCATGGGCAAACAAGACAACAGCCCTGCCCCGCCTACGCCTACCATGACGAGCCATATCAGCCTGGTACTCTGAGCGAACGCAAGTCGTACATCGGACTTGATGGGCTCCGAGAGGGCTTGCAACGCAGGAATCGCGGCATAGGCAATCTCGACGCCTTGTGGGAGGGTCTCTACGAAGGCTGGAGGCAAGTCCCGAGCGAGGGTGTTCTGGAGGATAGTCCCGCCGATCACGACGCCCCAACTCTGCGAGACTTCGCATCAGCTATTCAGGTATGCGCCCATGGCATCTCTGCTGCTCACCTGAGCGAAACATCGCACAAAAGTGTAGAAAGCAATAGCATGCGCGTTATTCGACACCGGGAGCGGAGAGAGGATGGCGAACTGCGTGCTCAGCCATATGATGCCGAGGCCCATGCCCAGCGGAACCTGGTAGCCGATATATTGCGCCCTCGTGCTGCTCTCGTCGAGTAACGAGAGAACTCCGAAGCCGACGATGATAAAAGCCCACCCGATGTAGTTCTGCGGCCGGTAGATGTTGAGCAGGGGTACCGAGACGCCGCACACGATGGAGAAGATCGGTATGGTGAACGATAGGCCGAACATGTCGACGCCAGCCGCGGCCCCTGATGCTCCGTGTACGGCCTGGAAGTAAACGGGTAGATAGTCTGTTGGTTTGAGGCGTTAGCAAGGGGTGCCGCTGACAGGAAGACTCACTCACATATCGCGGAGAGGGCGGCAATTCCATGGAAGAAGGTCCCAGCGTAGCTGTTCAGAGTCAGTGATAGTTTGGAGCAGAGAACACTCTGACATACCCGCTGAAGGTCGTACGATTAGTGAAGAAGAACCTCGGGATCTGACACCACGTCAGTTGCGAGCATCATTTCGGAACACGTATGTAAACGCACCGTTTGCTCTTTAGGTCTCAGGTACTCGACCGCTAGGAACGCAAGGAGGCCGATTGCTCCTATGACGAGGGGAACCAGAACCCTTGGAGAGACCCATGCGTACTGGATCCCTCCCCAAGTCAAAGCTAGCATGATAGACACCGTGCTTCCGATGATGAGCACATGGCCTCTGCATACTGGTCGTCAGAACGAAGATTGTCAAAAAGACACGCGTACGCACGCCCAGTCCATCTGCTTGATCTTGTCTACGAAGCTCTCCTTGGGCGTGTGCACCCGGAGAAAGACGTAGTTGGCCAGAAAGGCTATACCGCAGAGCGGGAGGTTGAGAAAGAAGAGCCAGCGCCACGCTCCCGCTCCGGCGAGCGCCCCGCCAATCGGAGGCCCTATGGCGCTATCACAGCGAGTAAGACAAACATAGAGCCTCATAGAGTGCACCCGAAGGAGAAAAACGTACCATGCGGCGGCCCATACACTACAATTCTCGTCAGTTCACGAGCTGCGCGTGTTGAATTTGTGACCTACGCAGCGGTAATCCCTTGGAACTTTCCCCGCTCTGGCAGCGGGATCATGTCTGCGCACACTATCTCCGCCACAGATAGGCACCCTCCCCCACCAAATCCCTGCACGGCTAGGTATATGGTTCAGTCAGCCGGTGGAGGTTGCAGAAGGAAGCAGACATACCGCGTCCGGCGATGAGCATGTTCATGTTCTGCGCCGCGCCCGTAATCGCAGATCCTACAGCAAAGCAAACGATGAAACAGAGTAGAATTGGCTTGCGTCCGAAGCTGGACACGAGGCCGCCGATAAGTGGAAGGACGGCTGTTGAGGCAATCGTGTATGCGCTCCCGGCCCATATGAAGTTCGTGCCATGGAGCTCGTCCACGATCGTCGGAAGCGCAGTGGACACCGCGGTCTGTGGAGATACGGGTTAGACATGTCGCCCACATGCCAGGGAGAGGGGATCGCTCACCAAGTCAAGTGCAGAGAGGAGGTCGACGAGGAGGTTCGAGATCAGGATGAGCCAGAATTTCGACCCTCGCACTAGAAACTGTGGCTGAGGCATGGTCTGCAACCGTTCGTTGTCGAGTGAGGATGCGGGGTCCTCCAGACCCCGAGTGTAATATTCTTCCTCCTGCGGCGAATAAGTGGACTCGATCAGGTCGGGAAGACGCGCGAGTAAACTCTGACGACCTACTCATCTGTCATCGCATAGACGGGCGATGTCCGAAGGCCTGGCTAAACGAAGGATAGACAGTAGATTTGGCAGGATGGAGGGATCGACAGACGAGAAGGCTGGAAGAGAACGGGGGCCTGTGCGCGGGGTTGCGTCACCTCCGTGCTCGTCGTCGTGCTCTTTTGTGCGGTCTGCAGCGCGCGCACAACTGTAACCATTGGTCATGTTGGCTTGACGCACATATTCGCCGCGTCACACCAGATGAGCGAGCTGAAAGGGCACGACGGTGAATTTGATCAGTCCGTTGATGGTGGAGCGAAACCAAGTATGGCGCGCTTCATGGCAGCGCGTCGAGCACAGAGTGACAGCAATGTATCGTTTCTGATTTCGTGCTATGCAACTCAGGAGGCATACTTCAGCTTCAATCACATTGACGATGACCACTCAGATGTATGCACATCTCGGTACTGTCTGTCTGTCGCGGACGCGCTGATCAGCTAACACCACTAATTAGAGAACCAAAGGGAAGCCTTCCGAACCTAATAACCGGGGATATCACCTCATGTGGTGTAGCGTCGATACGGCGGCGGTATCGTTGGCAGTATATCACTGAGTCTATCCCAGTCCTCCTCGGGCGGCCCTCCCGCGAGACGAACTCCCCCATCGAGCTCCTGTCTTGGACCGCGAGCGGCGTCTCGGACATACTGTTCGAGGACGGGAGACGTAGGTCCCGAGAGTGTCTCTGTCGGACCAAGGCCTGGTGGCATCGGTAGCGGTCGTGAGATGCGTTCGGAGCGTATCGCTCCCCTGCGCTCAAGCTCGCTTCGCTTGGACGTATGCCCGGATGGTCCCGGTAGGTCCGCACGAGGATCGGTATAGAACGGAACGTGTTGCTGTCTGACGAGTTCGCGAAGAGGGATGGCGTTAGGCGAAGTGGGAGAGTTCGACTCGTAGAGTTGGGATAGCTTCCGAGGGGAAGGCGTGTATATAGACAGAGGAGGGCGTTGGCGGATTGTGGCGTCTCGCCATGGAGGTGTGGCGGCACCACTACTCCGCGGCGACTCATTGAGATCCACTAGATCTGCGACGCAAGACGTTCAATGGAAATAACTCATATCAGCGAGCACGGCGCTCACCTCGAGGGTACCGGGACGCGACTCGGCGACGGCACTTCCTCCGTACTATGACTAGCAGAACAATTGCTCCGACCAGTGCGAACGCGCCAGCAATTGCGATTCCGGAGTATGAGGCCGGCCCCAGGTTACTGGGTTTCGTGATTGACTCGGAGACAGAGGTACTAGTAGGGGATGTCGTCGGCGAGGAATGTTCGGACGGCAATGAATTGGGATTGGACGTGAGTGGGGATTGCGAAGTCGATGCGGTGGATATCGGGAGGCAGAAGTCCGGCCCTGACGCGATTGTCAAAGCAGTCGGTGACACGATGATATCTCCTTTTGCGTCTGTCAATTGGAAGGAGACGGTCGTCCCCGCGGAGATGTTTGCCGACCACTGGAAGCTGTCGCCAGCGAGACCGGTATATACCTGAAGAGGTGTGGCGCCTGAAGAGACAAGAGCCAGATCGAAAAGCGGCGTTCCTCCGGACCAGGAGATGGTGACAGGCGTGCATTGTGCGATATTGGAAGGCATGGACCTGAAGGTGAGGTCGAACTGCGCAGTTGTTGGAGACGTGAATATCGTGACTGCAATCGTGAAGCCGATGGTAACATAGCGGAGAGAGGAAACGGGCCTTAATGTGGGGCGTCTAGGGTATAAGGCTGTCAAAGCCGTTGTCAGTACTTAATATGCATACGTCGACTCGGGTCGCCACGCACCATGAGTGTATGTAGGCATGTTATGCGTTCGTCTCGCTAACCAGAGCAACGAGGGTGCTTCGATCTATGCCCTGGCACTACGGGCAGAGCTTCCAGAGGTTGATCAGAAGCATGGGTCAATCAGAGGAAAGCGAGAGGAACTCTAGGACGACGCACCAGAAGACTACTTAAGTGCTGAGGGCGCGTACGCAATGCGGATATCGCCCGTGTTTTATGGCTATGGTTTAGGGATAGATCGATATGGCGTCCGCTCTACAGGCCTGAAACGCGACGGCTGCATGACGTCTCTATAGCTGTACGACCAAGTTCAGCATACATTCGCCACAAGTATGAATCGGTAGACCTCACCTCAATTCTTGCACGCTTCGCTGGCGGACATGATCAATGTAGGCTGTAGCGGAACCATCCGTATGGCTAGGCCATCGCCATGACGAGTGGGTATAGTATGACGTCGGCCGCAGGCATAAGGGGAGCGATCTATCAGCGCGGCAGACAGCCTGAATCGTACTTGAAAGGGTATGTTCGTGCATCGGGTGCCGAGGAGCGCAGCACGCCCATGAGTAAGTATTTGTGGACATTACGGCACAATGTTCGACGCTGCGCGAAGCGCAATCGGGCACGATACCGCGTATGGGAGGAGAGCGACGCATGCGCAGGAATAAAATGTCTACACTTCGTCAGCTATGTCTTCGGGTGGACCACAATCTGCGCACCTGACGAATACTGTCCCATGCCGCAAGAGCTCTCCATTCTTCGCCCTCCGCAATCTTCCCTCCGGATTCTCTGGCCTTGTGTGCTCCATGGGCGGACTCTGCGGACTTCTTCTGGCCCGGCCGAGCTTGGATCCTGCGGACTGAGAGCGCGTCAGGAGATCCTCCGCATGTCGTAGGTACGTTAGGGTCTGTCCAGGTTATGGCCAGCGAAAA